CCGCACGGGCCGGACGCGCAGGCGGCGGGCTGCTGGCAGCGCGCGCCCTGGTAGCCGGGCAGGCAGGCGCACACGAACCCGCCGTACGTGTCGTAGCACACGCCGTGCCCGCACACGCGCGCGTCCGCGCACTCGTTCACGTTGACGGCGCAGCGCGCGCCCGAGTACCCTGCGGACCACTCGTCCGGTCAACGGTTGGCTAGCTATACAAGGCAGCGCGGGTATAACTAGCCAACGACCACGTACCGGTCCCGGTGCAGTCGCAGGTGTAGTTGTTGACGGCGTCCTGGCAGCGCCCCCCGTTGAGGCACGGGTTCACGGTGGTGGCGCACTCGTCCACGTCCGTCTCGCAGTTACGTCCCGTGTAGCCTGCAGACATTGCATCAACAACAACATATAATCATCACATCAACACAATCTGTTACTCTACACTTGCCCGCAACACAAGTATAATATGATCGACCTTTGTTCAATAGATGTACAATTTGACGTCAACGGCAAAGAGTCAGGCGTAAGACTACGTGCTTTTGAAAACACCGAGGTGAAAGACCCATGAATTTTGCAGGCCGTCGATAGCAATCGAAACGTAATATAAAAGAGAAGGAGCAGTGACCGGGCGGGCAGGCGCAGACGTAGGTGTCGGCGCCGGGCGGCACGCTGCAGCTGGCGCCGTGCTGGCAGGGCCGCGCCACGCACTGCGGGTCCAGCGACTCCTCCAGCTCGCAGAGCGCGCCGTGGTAGCCGGGCGCGCAGGCGCACGAGTACGAGCCGCGCGGCTCCTCCACGCAGCGCGCGCCGTGCTGGCAGGGCGCGGACGCGCACGGGTCGCCCGCGTCCACCTCGCAGTTGTTGCCCGTGTAGCGCGCCGTGCAGTGGCACTCGTACCTGCGCCGCGACCGTTCGTTTACGAAACGCTGACCTCTCATAACTATACATGTGTTCATGGAAACGTCGAGTCACGGCAAGCGCACGCCATGTCGCACGTCCGAACTATATAGTCACTAAAAGCGACCATGTCCATTAGGTATTAAAAAAATGTGAACCTAATAATTAATCAACCATAATTTTCCAATATTAACTCAAATAACATCATTCATTAGTTTCATGCAACGAAGAGCGAGTTAATTGCTTTTCGAAGAGAGTTTGTTAATATGGGGCGCCTCAAGTCTCTTTACGTATATCTCCGTGGCCAGAGTCGTAGGTAGAGGTAGTACTATTCTTAAGGCAAACTAGGCGAGTGTCGTGGGCACCCGGTGACTACCAACCGCCCATACAGTGGCAACAGTTCCAAAAACAATTAGGGGTGCCTAAGAGGTGCTTGCATAGGGCAGTGGCTAGGTTTATTCCGCCCCTGTCCTTGGCGTACTCCGTACTGACCGGTCGTGGCGCGAGATGCAGGTGCCGTGCCTCATGCAGGGCTCGTTGTAGCAGTGGTCCTTCGGCTGGATGCGGAGCACGTCCTTCCTGTCAATACCTGGGAACCGTCCACATCAGCTCACAACACATTACATTACATTATATTATTTACTAGCTTTTACCCGCGGCTTCGCTCGCGTCAAAAGGATAAAAAGTAGCCTATGTGACATATACCAATACACACAGCGCCATCTATACCAATAATTTCGTTTTCCCTCGAGAATATCAAATTTTTCCGGGATAAAAAGTACCCTATTATTTAATCCAGCAATCGGTTTAGTAGTTACGGCATGAAAGCGGAACAAACAAACAAACTCACTTTCAGATTTATAATATTAGTAAGGAGTAGTAAGGATTTATAGATTACATTCACTAATCTTCAGCATGAGGAAGGAAATGGTGAATCATGTAATCACTAACTACTTACTCTGAGATATCATAAAATTTGTATTCGCGATTTCCTGTTTTATTGTTATTTTATATCTGCGTATAGGAAAACATTTAAATAAACGTTTGATTATTATGATCGCCATGTCCGGAGCTAAAATATAGTTTAATTATTATATTATACTTTTATAATTAGATTACAGTTTAATCAGTAATTATTTGATTGCAGTAGAGTTTATATTGTGAAGTGCAGTATCTGCGGTGGTGGTTGACGTACTCACATTCGTCAGTGGTCAAAGGGCAGTGTCCGAAGACGACGTTCCTGGTCTGCGCGGAGGCGGCGTGGAACTCGAGCTGCGGGCCCTCGAGGATGCAGCCGCTGAACACGTTGCCCACCAGCAGCACGGCGCCGCCCGCCTCCAGCGCGCCCGGCGACAGCAGCTCGGGGTTCCACGTCACGTTCGATATTATCTGCCGACAACGGGCCCAGATACTATTGTTTCTCCAAACCAACAATAATGTAATTAATTAACTTAACATTTACATTAATACAATATTGCAATAAAATATTATGTGAATTCCACAGCATAGAGCAGCAATGTGTGCCAAAGTGGGCGGTAACGAGGTGTAGTGACGCAGACGCATCGACAGACGTAGGCTGTTTTCTGGTGGACAGTAGTCGCGTGTCGAGCGCCTACTTCTAGTACATACATTGTTTTGTACATTGACCAATAAAATGAAGCCAACTACCCACGTACACTGACAAATCAATAACTAGTATTCAAGTATTAAGCAGTCGTATATGCGCTGACAACACAAACAAGTCATTAAGTAAGCAGCCAGCAACCAATAAGTGATCAGCTGTATCAATACTCGTGTCTGAAAAGATTTATTGATACAACTGCATCGCGCGTGGATAATGAAAGTGATACAGGCGCAGTGTGAGACATCCAGTGTCTACCCGCGGCCGACTGACGGTGCGCCACGTACCTGTGTGTCTTTGTCCACCTCCAGCAGCAGCGAGGGCGGGTCGGAGTTGTACCGCAGGCCGACCCAGTGCCACCGGTTGTCCAGCGTCTCCTTAGCGAGCCCCACCTCGCGGTGCGGCTGCGAGGGCCGCGCCCACGACACCACCACCTGCTCGAACAGGGCGGTCACGTGCAGCGTGTACCCCTCGAACCGCTGCGAGAATAACTCGCCGCCTGCAATTTAATAACGGGCTCTTAATATCGATAGTGTGGAGTACGTTATGGTCAAGAGCCCAGAACGTACTCTAAGAATATTTCATTAACGTAAAAAGGAAGACAAATTATACATCTTTTATTTATTTTATATCATAGACCCTCTCAATAAAACAACGACAAAACACTGATGGACGTGATGTTAAAAAGGACCAGGAAAATATTAGTAAAATGACTACTATGATACTAAACCATCGCCTTACTAATATTATAAATATAAATAAGTAGAAACCAAAATATCGTACAGAAGCATCGTTACAATACATACTTTGAGCGTGGGAATCTACTTCAGCAGCCACAGCCCGCTGAGGCACAAGCAACAAACGGAACGCAGTAAGGCTACAGTGGCCTTTTAACTTGCTGCTTATTATAAGCAAGGACATTTTTAGAACAATTTACCTATTTACTGTATGATGAGCTAGCAGTAAACAAACTTCTACATTGCAAGAAATGTTTGTGAACATCAGTTAACACAACTATGTCAGCAGGTGCGGACCGCACGTTATTGGTTCTCATATTTTATGTAATACTTAGTAGGTATAAAGATAAAATTCTCGACACGAATATTGGCCAGAATTTGTCATGGCGATTGGATTGCTTAGTCCATTTCTTCGTCTTATACCTCGTTTCCAACTTTAATACCTACACTTAGCATCTACTGTGAACTGTGAATGATGTAATGATCAAGTACCTAATGTGGGACACGACGAGTTCCATGAGTCTGTAGAATTAACGAAATTATAAGACAAGGAATGTACGGATACTGGGTATCGGGTGCGTGCCACAGCTCTGTAATGTACCTATATTGTATACCTACAGCTATACAAACACCGTCAATGTATTCATCACATTCCCTCTTCTTACAACATAGATACATAGTAGGTGTAATGTACAGTCTGTAGGTACAGCACAGAGACGCTGAATGGTCTGAGAATGTGTTAGAAAGGCAGCAGTCTGGCAAATAATGGCGTCGTGTAATAGAATTCGTCACTCAACCTGTTCCTGATTAAAAATCAGGAACCTCTCTGTAAAGAGTGAAACTATGTACATATAATTAATCATATGTACATATGTGGATCGCAGTTCACAGTGTATTAAATGATCGAACCATGTGTCCCTCGAAATTATGACAACAATGTAAATCGCGACCGGTCCTATCGAGTTAATATGCGCTGCTGTGACGTAAGTATGTATAATGGCAATCGTCGCCGGCACACAGTCAGCGCCCAGCGCGCCGGCACTGATCACTACAAACACTAATATCCACCGTAATCAACACTCGGACATGGTGGTACAGCCCGACAGTCGTATACCATACCGTAATACAATTGACCTTGAATATTTAAATATGCAAATGCTACAAACGATTTGATTATCTTCAGAAGTAGGAAGTAGGTTTAAAATTATTGCAAATACGGAAACTGATTTGGTGGTGCTTGTGTGGGTGTGTTATGTGCAGCACCAAAAGTTCCAGAATTTGAGATTAGGTTAGACGAAAGAGAGAAATGATTTGATTTTTTTATTGTAAACAGTCTTAGTAAATCCCCATAAAGACCAGTATGTCAACGTCGGCACTTTTCGATTCCGAGAATGACGGAGCGTGTTCTGCAATGTAATATAACACGTGCACGCATTATTATGCGAGTAATCAGCAAAAACTCGCAGATGTAATGATGCTCACTACAGGACCGCTTTGATTGATGCTCGTGCCTTGGCTTGCGTGCGACGCGGCGTGCGCATCATCGCATCCAAGGCGGCGTGCGCGACGTACCCACAGCTTTTTTTATTTCAGAATTACATTCTGCTCTTGGGGACATTGCTTCTCTTAAACTGTCAAACACCGCGAGGACATCGGTGACCGCAACCTATTGTTCTTTAATTGTGTCTATAATGACGGTACTTAAAGGCTTAACTAATGATCGAAAATCAGTATAATATACTTACATGGCCTCAGCGACTATGCCGCGACCGAGTGCATGTGGAAAGAGCCTAATATTACGTATTATTTTGTGACACATCATGATGACTTACCAACGCATGTTCGGAAACTGAGACCGACGAGTTGTTTGAGTGATATAGGTCTGGACAGCCGGATGTAGGAGCTGCCGTTGAAGTAGGCCTCAGGTTGGTCAGAGGGGCCAAGCGGGCTGGCAGCGTGGACCACTGCCAATGTGGTCGCGCACGCAGCCAGCACTGCCCACAATACTACAAAAATAAAAAGATGTATTAGTTTTGAGTTAACATTGGCTTCATATTTTCTCTAACCTCCAATAATAATGTACTTAACATTATTAATTTTAAGCAAATATTGTTGTCAGCTTGTCTAACTACGTCTCCTTCATTTACAGTTGAACCTTATAGAAGATGACAAGAGTCATCAGTCGCCAACTGTGTAGAGTGCAGTGACGCCATGACGTCAGTCGCAGAAAAGTTATTGATGTGGTGTGGCAGTCGGCAGCGTGTGTGCGTTGTGCAAACAGTTCGATACGGGGGAATAAACGCTATATCGCATACAGGCGCACTAGGTACAGGCTCCGTGAAACCGGGTCACTGCAGGCGGCGCAAAGCTCACGAGCGAGCGGGTACTGACAGTGACTATCTCATAACAAATTGCAATTTACAGTTATATATACATGATTCCAATATATTCATATCATCATCATAATTGATAGAATAGTCATAGTGGCCCGGGTGCTAAGGCGCAAGCTTCTTCTCGTGCTTGAGGGTGCGGACTCGAAACTTCATTCACATTCTAAGACTATTCAGACACCACTGACATACAGTGAAGAGTAAGTAACCTCGTGAAGATAACTTGAAATCGCCAAACCCCTTGGGCAAACCTGGTGCAAAGCACAAACTAAAGAAATATAAATCATTTATTATATCTATGGCACAAACCTTCTCCGTGCGAAAAGAGGCGTGTGCTTAGCAGTGTGCATTTAAATAAAATTTATAGGTAATGATGATCACATCATTACCTATAATAATATATTATGAGGATCACCTCATAATACTTATTCAAAAACACTTTTAGATTTCAAACTATGACTATCAATTAACGTCTGTTGTAACCCGCCAATCTCGCCATATTGGGCGCCATCAAACTCTTTACTCTTTGCAAAGAGTTCAATGATTTTGTAGTTTCAGATAAAAATGAAAATGTTCACAAAAGTGACATAAAACTTGAGTATTCCCTGCAAGCCCATTGCTTGAAATATTTGTTTTCCGCTAAAGGTTTGTACGTAATGCAGTGAGAGCGCCCGACAATCTCCCGGGGCTCCGATAGACCGCTGGCCGCAGCTCCAATTTATTACCTATCGTACCTAGATAGCTCTAAACGTATTTACTGTTACCGCACGCGCACTGGAGCTGGCCCGAAACTCAGTGGCCACCAGTAAACGAACAGTGCCGTATTCCGCGGTTGCGTTGCCCCCAATACGCTACGTTTTAAAAAAGCATTTATATTTATTTTATAAGATATTTTTATTTTTCGTAACTGTTTAACTCGAGAAGAAGTCCAAGTTTCTGGTAGGATGTCCGTATTTTGTATCTTCTTCTTCAAATAGAAAAGAGATAATCGGTATATAGAGCATAAAGGCAGTAACGAGAAGCCATAATCATGAATTATTGTGAAGTAAAAGTTGTAGATAGTCCAATGTCAGCGCAGACTAGAGTTCTTTGACCGTTATTGTATATAGTCATGAATACATCAATCCAATTAGTGGCACTAGTGCGAGCACAACACGCGCTCTCCACATAATCGAGTTAGAATCGATTCGTCACAAGATCGACTAACTGCTGGCCACTAATCATGGGGTTTTAATAACAATCGAGCTACACAGTATACTTTATGGGAAAGTTTCGCGCTGCACAAAGTAGATTGCACATCTTAAGATACTTTCTTATGCAAATGTTTTTTTCATTAGCTCGTTTTACATTAGCTAACACACTAGAGCATTGCCGCAACCGCGCACGCTGCTCATGAGGAAGAACCCCTCTGTGGTTCGAAATTAGTAGAGCTTTTCTCAGTATATTCACGTGAGTACCCCGTAATTTTTAGTTAATTTAGTATGTCTCACGATAGTATTATAAAAACGTATGCAACTAATCCCTTATACATACCGTATAATTATAGGTAATTTTATAATTAAACAAGACTTCAACTTATGTTAAACAAATCATCGTAATCATTTTTATCATGTGCTCAAATCAATGGAGTTTTGTTTGTTAAAATTGAAGACTACGTAAAGAAATATCGTCCACGACTCCACACAGTCCAATAGTTGTGATATTTATTATTTGCCGTCTGCTGACACGTGACTATTGATTAAGCTGTGAAATCTGTTAAGCTACCTATTTCTTGTAAAAACAAATGTTACCACTTACTTTTTAAGTTTCCCTAAAAATGATAACTACAGTTCATCTACTTCTACAAATTAATGATGCGTTAAAAAGCACAATTATTATATAAAGTGCATAGTATAAGGCATAAAGATTCAAAATAAAGTCGCTGTCTGTGAAGTGTGTATGTGCCCAGACTTCAGTGTGGCGTGTCAAAATATTTTAGGCAAAAATAATTTAGGCATGGTACTTTATATTTTCGAGATGTTTTTTAACTAAATCATACCCTATATCCAACACAATCCTTGTAATGCACTAACGCAGGCTTCACGAGGCGAATGCCTTGGCTCGTGCTACGGTAAGAGTATTTTAATTTTACTGGTCGGCGTTGTTTGTATAAATACAACCTCGGCGGCTCAAGCACATATTAATCCAGTCCCTAGTCACGCATCGAAAGTGTTATAGTGAATTTGCGATCAATCCAATAATGCACATTTACAATTACATTACACAACGTGGCGTGCACGGTCGCACGCGCAACGTATGCATGCGGTTGGTTGGTGCGCACACCACTGCGCTAGCGCAATACAGGCGGGCAGCGCACTGGTATTGTATGTAAAAAGGAGAACGGCAGATTTCGTACCGCTTTGCTAAAAAAAGATTTGTCATTGTTTTGCCTTGGGCAATTGGGTAGCTATAGAATCCTCTAAATACGTTATGTTAGCATATTTAATAGATTTTTAGAACTTGGGAAGCCCTAGAAAATCTCATATTCAATAATGATAAGAAGCAATCAACAAAACGGCTACATATTAAATAAAAACAAACCGCGATTGACGTTTATAAAGTTGCCATGCGTAAACATGAAATCAGAGTATATTGAATGTCGCTATTTCATAAACTCATTTATTTTAATATCAATGGAATATTTTCCTTTCCATTTCAAACATTTTTTATAAGTAAATATCATTATTTTAATTTCATTTTGTGAGGTCTACATGGATTATTAACGATAATTAACATTTTCACAAACTTGAATATGGCAATGTTGAACTGGTATTTGACATTTGTTGTTGAAGACGATTTGTCAATGTCAAGTGCGCCTTGCTGTTGGTTTCGAATGCGGTGTTATGATGTGTTTGTACAAATTGGAAGTCATTTTATTCATCTGGTGATACTTTGAGTTGGGCAGCCGTTCCTCCGTAGCCGAAATTGCGAAAATACACTTATTTTCATTTGTGCATAGTGTGTTGTATTTTGTCGCGATGACGAATTTACAGTGCATTAATTACAACCAGAGTTTGTCGCATGAGACGGCATGCTCTAGGAAATGAGAGTGAAGACTAGACGTGGTCAACAATATCCCATTGTGGACTTATCCTAGAGATGTAAGTAGGTACTTACCTATAATTACACATGACGTATCGAAAGTCACCTTGTTGCCTAAATAAAGGGGGCATAGTGTTATCTACCTATAATGTATCATTTTATTCTAGATCTCTCCTACCGACCATATTTGCCATGCTTGCTGGCAATTAGCAATGTATTGGGATGTTCCTGAAAGTATGTCCAGCAAACAAACTGATCATTGACATGTCTGTGTCGTATGTGGGCATTCCATTGCAAGGATAAGGTGACGCAGGGGTTTAATTGAAGGCGCCAACGAACAGGAGCAAAGACTAGCTCATATAGTATCTGATTGGATTCAGCCACGAAAGGTAATAATTTATTGTATTAACCATATACTATTATCATATAATTTAAAGTCAATATGACATTCTAATAATATTACTTTTTTTAGCTTACTTCCAATGATGAAGATCGTGTTCCATGCTGGCTGAGAGCCTTAACAAGAGTCGGATCTATAAGACCACAACCTGACATACCACCTCATAGTGTTCACTATCAGGATGTAATGTGTTATGTAAACATTTAAAAAAAAAAAA